TTTTCGTGGACTCCTATGACCCAGTAGTGGTCCGATTTGCTCTTGCAGGTGTCTCTGGTGTTACAGACCGGAGTCCAGGTGTTTCCCAAAGAGCGGTTCAGCATCCGGACCACGCCCTCCGAGTCCACGGAGCACGGCGTTCCTGAAAACACACACGAGTCCAGAACTGAAAACGAAAACACATGAGTCCAGAAGGAGTTTGAAATAAGAACACTGAACTAGTCCAAGATTCTATTTAATCGTTTTGAATTTAAATATTCTTCTTGGAGTTTACATGGAAATAATAAGTGTGAATTGACGTTTATATGAAAAACACATTAAATTGTATAAATAATAAAAATAAACATGGTGATTAAGAGTCAGTGATTCTGATTCATGGACAGACACACACACACACACACAGCAGCAGAAATGAAGTAACCGCATAAGAGGTGTAAATAAATGTGTGTTTTTCCTTTAATAAAACTCGTCACTTCATTTGATTTGATATTTGTTCAGGCTGCAGTCGACTTAAACGAGAACGACGACGCTGCGTTAGTGACACTGAACGACAAACTGAGCTGAACCTGTTTGTGACGAGGAAACGACAGAAGAACAGAGTCAATACGACCTTTGAACCACAGTCGACAACGCCAGAGTAAACACAGGTCAGAGTGAACGAGAGTCCGAGTCCGAGTCCCAGTCCCAGTCCCAGTCCCAGTCCCAGTCCCAGTCCCAGTCCGAGTCCCAGTCCCAGTCCCAGTCCCAGTCCGAGTCCGAGTCCGTACCTTCTGCGGTGAAGCCCATCCAGCTGAGGGTGGAGCGGGGGCTCAGGGGCAGAGGCTGGTCCAGGATCAGTCTCTTCTTCTGGGACAGAGACAGAAGCTGCACCCCCAGAGCCTGGTCCCCGTCAAACCCCGTACCTGCACACACACATAACACACACATAACACACACACATAACACACACATAACACACACACGACACACACATAACACACACACATAACACACACACACACACATAACACACACATAACACACAAAAATAACACACACATAACACACAACACACACATGACACACACATAACACACAACACACACATCACACACACATAACACACACATACACACACACATAACACACACACATAAACACACCACACAACACACATGACACACATACACACACATAACACACAACACACACATGACACACACATAACACATAACACACACACACACACATAACACACAACACACAATAACACACACATAACACACAACACACACATAACACACACACATAACACACACACAACACACACATACACACACATAACACACACATAACACACACACATACCACAACAACACACAACACACACACATAACACACAACACACATCATACACACACACACACACACATAACACAACAACACACACACACACACACACATAACACACACATAACACACACACACACACATAACACACACATAACACACACACACACACATAACACACACACACAACACACACACATAACACACACACACACACAACACACCACACACACACACTAACACACACACACACATAACACACACACATAACACACACACACACACACACACAACACACACATAACACACACATACACATAACACACACATAACACACACACAATACACACACACACACACAAACACACACAACACACACATAACACAACATAACACACACATAACACACCACATAACACACACACACACATCACATATAAACACACACACACACACAACACACATAACACACACACACACAATGACACACACATAACACACAACATACCACACATAACACACAACACACACACATAACACACATCACACACACAAACACACACACATACACAACACACATAACACACACAACATAACACACACACATACACACACACACATAACACACACACACACACACAAACACACACAAACACACAACACACACAACACACACACACACATAACACAACACACACACGACACACACACGGGGAAGACCTGGTTTAGTCCTGGCTAGCCTGTTTTAATCCTGTTAGTCCCAGTAGTCTGTTAGTCTTGTCCTGTGTTCCTGTTATACCCACCTCCTGTTAGTCCTGTTTTAGTCCTGTTATAGTCCTGTTATAGTCCTGTTATAGTCCCTGTTCCTGTCCCTGGTTGGTCCTTGGTCCTTGGTTTGTACCTCGTGTAGACCACACACAGCTGCTGTTGTGGGCACTCACACACTGTAGTCCTGTTATGTTATAATCCTGTTATAATCCTGTTATAATCCTGTTATAGTCCTGTTATAGTCCTGTTTTAGTCCTGTTTTAGTCCTGTTATAGTCCTGTTATAGTCCCGGTGTGGTCCCTGGTCTGGTCCAGTCCGTACCTCGGTGGTAGACGACACACAGCTGCTGTCTGTGGGCACTCACACACTGTTAGTCCTGTTATAATCCTGTTATAGTCCTGTTATAGTCCTGTTATAATCCTGTTATAATCCTGTTATCCTGTTATAGTCCTGTTATAGTCCTGTTATAGTCCTGTTATAGTCCTGTTATAGTCCTGTTTTAGTCCTGTTTTAGTCCTGTTTTAGTCCTGTTTTAGTCCTGTTATAGTCCTGTTTTAGTCCTGTTATAGTCCTGTTATAGTCCCGGTGTGGTCCCTGGTCTGGTCCCTGGTCCGGTCTGGGTCTGTACCTCGGTGGTAGACCACACACAGCTGCTGTCCGTGGGCGCTCACACACACCACGTTGCCGCTCAGACTGAACACTTCTCTCTGGAGCCCCCCGATGGTGAAGAGGCGCAGCAGCAGGGCCGAGGTCGCCACGGCAACGAAGCCCCGCCCCAAACACAGCGCCCGGGCGTCCTCGCCGCGAGGCAGGTCCACCACCCACTCCTTATGGGTGTCCCACGACGAGAAGTGCACGCACAACAGCTTACTGCCGAGAAAAAGAGTCAGATGCCCTTCCCGTGTGACAGGTGCCCCTCCCCCCCATGCATCAGGTGCCCCCCTCCCTCCCTCCCTGCGCGTCAGGTGCTCCCCTCCCTCCCTCCCGTACGTCAGGTGTCCCCCCCCTCCCTCCCGTGCGTCAGGTGCTCCCCCCCCGTACGTCAGGTGTCCCCCCCTCCCTCCCGTGCGTCAGGTGCGCTCCTGTACCTGGCGAGCTGGTCGGTGCTGGGGCAGGCGAGCAGCACGGCCTCCTGGGAGATGTCGGCGATGGCGTGCCCGAGGGCGTTGGACAGGTGCATGCCGTGGTGCACCGCCGAGTCGTGGAATTCTACGTCGATGGCGTTTTCCGGCTCATCGTTGTATCCGCGCACGATCCCCACGGAATTCCACATCTGAGAGAGAGAGAGGGCGGAGTTTAAGACCACTGCTCCCACAGAACCTGCTCTACACACAGTCCAGGTCGAGTCCAGGTCGAGTCCAGGTCGAGTCCAGGTCGAGTCCAGGTCGAGTCCAGGTCGAGTCCAGGTCGAGTCCAGGTCGAGTCCAGGTCGAGTCCAGGTCATAGAGCAGGTCTGTCTTGGGTCTTGGCGAGGCCGGACATGTTTCCTGCTCTTGTTTTCCTGCTGTGTCTCTGTCTCGTCTGGTCTGGTGTTTTATATTTTAGAGAGACTCTGTTCTACAGAAGTCAAGAGGGTCACAACAAACGCAAACGCCGCAACAAATACAAATACGACAACACAAACACAAAAGCCACAACACAAACACAAAAGCCACAACACATTAAAAAGCCACAACGGAAGTGACCGTGGGACTCTATTTTCCGATGGACCGATCAAGTGGCAAGTGAAGAAGAAGAACGACAACGTGAAACGAATAACAATAAAACTATAAATTACTTTAACTTCCGTTTCCAACTTCTCCGTTCCTTTACTTTTCACGTTGTCGTTCTTCTTCTTCACTTGCCGCTTGATCGGTCCATCGGAAAATAGAGTCCCACGGTCACTTCCATTGTGGCTTTTTAATGTGTTGTGGCTTTTTCATGTGTTGCGGCTTTTTGATGTGTTGTGGCTATGGATGGGCATGATTAGTCGATTAATCGATAATTGATCATTAAGAATTTCATGGATTCCGTTGATTTTAATGGACAAACTGAATGTATGTTTGTGTGTCGGGGACAAACAGGTGTGTACATGTGTCTCTGCATCAGAAGCAGCGACACACAAACAGTGGGTCAGTCTGTAACGAACCGAAGCACAAATGTGGATTTAACCAGGATTTGTAGAAGAAATTCCACACTTTCCGTTGCGTTGGGACAAGTGTGAGTCCATGTGCACAGTGGATAAAGCAGCACATATGTTTCTGTGTCCAGTGGGAAACAGTTTTTCCAGGTGAGAGTCGCTCAATGTGGATGACGAGGCCCCGCCCCCCTCCCCCCGTACGCTGTCCTGGGTTTGACAAACACAAATCTGGTCACACTGACCTGTATTCACCTGAGTCATGTCTTTTAATCCAACACAAGTTGAACCACATCAGCGACACAAGAGCTGGAGTTTTATCTTCACTTAGTTTATGTAAATTAGTGATGTGGTTTTAAGTTTTGTTTCTGTGAGATTTGAACAAAACTGAATTAAACACATTATAATGTCAAACAGCTGATGTGGATCTAGAGTCGTTATGTTTATATGTCGTAAAGTTGAATTTATTGATGCAGATTAGTGCAGATAGTAATAATAATGATGATCATTTTAATAGAAAAACGTTCATGATTAATCGATAATCGATCGTTAATTCTTCCGACGATCGATTAAGAAAATTTCATCAAATGCCCGTCACTACACAGCTTTTTGTTGTGTTGTCACATTTGTATTTGTTGTGGCGTTTGCGTTTGTTGTGACCCTCTCGGCTTCCGTACTGTTCTGCTCTCTGAACTTTAACTCTGGATTTGATCATTTGGTCTAAACACAATTTGTCACTACTTTCTCAACAAAAAGTTCAGACTCGGGTGAACCTGGGTCCATAAGTGTAGTTTTCGTGGTTTTAGTGGATGAAGGAAAACGTCGCCCTAAACACGACACACGGTTCATGAAGCCAAACGCAGCAGTTTCAGACGGACGAGTGAAACCTGTACCATGAATCTGTGTGTGAGGTGGGCGGGGGTGGAGCCGGGCTGAAACGCTCTCTGAGGAGGCGTGGGCATGGGACCCTCGTACACGGGCCGCAGGGACACGGGCGGACCAGCAGGAGGTGCTATAGAACTGCCCCCGTCGTCGTCATCATCAGGAAACTTCTGTCCCCCGAGTTTCAGAGAACCAGTGTCTGAGGAGAGAAGAGCACAAGATCACACACAGAAGACCGCGTTCACTTCAGTCTGTCTGTTTGAGGAGTTTTTAGTTTTATTGTAAAAGTAAAGTTTCTCTGGAGTATTAACTGGAACACGTCACATATTTAGTTCGTAGAGACAAAGTCGATTTTGCAGAACATCGCGTCGTCTTGAAGCGACGGTGTTGGTGTAAAGGACGTTACCCTCACCCAGGGAGTTGTCGTCTTCGAGGAAAGCCGCTCTGTTCCTGACGCGTCCGGTCGGCGTGATGATGTCGTCGTCGTCGGCCTGCGGTCGCCGCGGAGACTCGCCCTCGTCCATCGGCCCGTCCTCGTCTCCGTCGAACAGGTCGTCAAAGTCCCGCCCCGCGGTCGACTCCGAGGGCTGCCACGACAACACACTGTTTACACACGGTCGCCACGACAACACACTGTTTACACACGGTCGCCACGACAACACACTGTTTACACACGGTCGCCACGACAACACACTGTTTACACACAGTTTCCATGACAACACACTGTTTACACACGGTCGCCGTGACAACACACTGTTTACACACAGTTTCCATGACAACACACTGTAGTACTCTTATATCTGTGTTAGTACAGTAGTAGTAACAGTAGTTGTTGTAGTAGTTGTAACAGTAATAGTAGTAATAGTAGTAGTAGTAGTAGTAGTAGTAGCAGAAGCAGTAACAGTAATAGTAGTAATAGTAGTAGTAGTAGTAGTAGTAGTAGTAGTAGCAGAAGCAGTAACAGTAATAGTAGTAATAGTAGTAGTAGTAGTAGTAGTAGTAGTAGTAGTAGTAGTAGTAGTAGTAGTAGCAGTAGCAGAAGCAGTAACAGTAATAGTAGTAATAGTAGTAGTAGTAGTAGTAGTAGTAGTAGTAGTAGTAGCAGAAGCAGTAACAGTAATAGTAGTAATAGTAGTAGTAGTAGTAGTAGTAGTAGTAGTAGTAGTAGTAGCAGTAGCAGAAGCAGTACAGTAATAGTAGTAGTAGTAGTAGTAGTAGTAGTAGTAGTAGTAGTAGTAGTAGCAGTAGCAGAAGCAGTAACAGTAATAGTAGCAGTAGTCCTGGTCCTTGTACCTTGCTGTGTCCCTGGGGCCCCTGACACACTCCGTCCAGGAGCCCCACACATCCCTCTGTGTCGGTGTAAACGAGCTGAGCTCCAGACGGACTCCAGGCCACAGAACAAACACTGAAACCCTTCTCATGCTTCTGTCTGAAACACAAACACACTGGACTGTAGTACTAGTACTGCAATACTGTAGTACTATAGTACAAACACTGAGGCCCGTCTCATGTTTCTGAAACACACAATATCCACTGAGACGACTACACTGTACTGTAGTACTGTTATATTTATATCAGGGCTGGGCACGTTAACGAGTTAATTTTGCGTTAACTAATTGATTAATTATGGCTGATCATTATTTTTCTCCCCTTAAGTTTTTATTTTCATTTTGTTTATTGTGAGCGTCTGTTGCTCACTTTTATTTTGAACAAGTCCATGGTGAGCGAGTGTAGAATGTTTCTGCTGCAGCGTCACAGAAACGGAGAAAAGAAAGAGATAAACAAACACGGAGACGCGAGGAACTTTTACACAGACATTTTCATTTTAAAGTTTTAAAGTGTAAAATGTGTAAAACTCAAACGCTGAACTGTCTCATCAGCAGAGTTTCACGAGTCTGAAATATCAAACCCACAAACTCTGATGTAAATCAAACAGTCAAACAAGTGGAACGAAGCTTCGGCCGAACCATCTTCATCACTATTAACATGATTAACACATTCGATTTTTGTCCAGTCCTGATGTCGTAAATGCACCTGTCACTCACTCTCTCACCAATAGGAGGAGTTTTACCTCTCGAGACAAAGTTTGGAGCCGACGTCCCAGATCACGATGGCTCCGCCCACAGACGCCGCCGCCAAACGTTTACCACACGGAGACCAGCTCACCACGTTCACCGGCTACAACACAGACAGAGGGATAAACCGGGTCTGGACCAGTTTTTATTTCAGTCCAGCAGACTGAGCGGGCGTGCTGTTACCTGAGTGATGATGTCATCGGTCAAAGTGGTCACATGACTCCAGGTGTCCCTCTCGTACAGGTGAACTTTGTCTTCAACCGGAACGGCCAAAAACTGCCAAGACACAGCAGAGTGTGAGTGACGGGGCATCTGGTTTAAACAGAGGACAGTTCTAACAGAAGCGGTCGTACTTTCCCGGCGCCGGGCTGAAACTCCAGGCGGCACAGAGACTTGGCGTTGGACACGTCGTTGGATTTGTGCAGCAGGTTCCAGCGGGTCACCTGACGCTGAGGACCAATCACAGACGAGACACGGACGATTAAAAACCACACCAATAAAACCGACAAATCTGAACGAAGAAAAGCAGAAGGACAAACCTGCTCCTCGATGTCCCACACGACCACGGAGCCGTCGCAGCTGGACGACGCCTGAAGGACCAAGACGCACGTTAGAACATCACAGGAACATCACAGGAACATCACAGGAACATCACAAGAACATCACAAGAACATCACAAGAACATCACAAGAACATCACAAGAACATCACAAGAACATCACAAGAACATCACAGGAACATCACAGGAACATCACACGAACATCACAAGAACATCACAGGAACATCACAGGAACATCACAGGAACATCACAGAAACACCACAGGAACATCACAGGAACATCACAGGAACATCACAGGAACATCACAGGAACATCACAGGAACATCACAGAAACACACAAAGAACATCACAGGAACATCACAGGAACATCACAGAAACACAGAACATCACAAGAACATCACAGAACATCACGGAACATCACAGAACATCACAGAACATCACAGAACATCACGGAACATCACAGAACATCACAGAACATCACAGAACATCACAGAACATCACGGAACATCACAGAACATCACGGAACATCACAGAACATCACGGAACATCACAGAACATCACAGAACATCACGGAACATCACGGAACATCACAGAACATCACACGAACATCACAGAACATCACACGAACATCACAAGAACATCACACGAACATCACACGAACATCACACAGAACATCACAAACAGAACATCACATCGAACATCACAGGAACATCACAGAACATCACAGGAACATCACAGGAACATCACAGGAACATCACAACAGAACATCACACATCACACGAACATCACAAGAACATTCACAAGAACATCACACGAACATCACAAGAACATCACAACGAACATCACACGAACATCACACAACAGAACATCACACGAACATCACACGAACATCACAAGAACATCACACGAACATCACAAGACGAACATCACAAGAACATCACAAAGAACATCACACGAACATCACAGAACAACATCACAACATCACAAGAACATCACACGAACATCACACGAACATCACACGAACATCACAGGAACATCACAAGAACATCACACGAACATCACACGAACATCACACGAACATCACACGAACATCACAAGAACATCACAAGAACATCACACGAACATCACAAGAACATCACACGAACATCACACGAACATCACACGAACATCACACGAACATCACAAGAACATCACAAGAACATCACACGAACATCACACGAACATCACAAGAACATCACAAGAACATCACAAGAACATCACACGAACATCACACATCACAAGAACATCACAAACATCACAGAACATCACATCACAGAACATCACAGAACAACAGAACATCACACAGAACATCACACGAACATCACAAGAACATCACAAGAACATCACACAACATCACACGAACATCACACGAACATCACAGAACATCACACGAACATCACGAACATCGAACATCACAGAACATCACACGAACATCACAGAACATCACACAGAACATCACACGAACATCACACATCACAGGAACATCACGAACATCACACGAACATCACAAGAACATCACAAGAACATCACACGAACATCACACGAACATCACACGAACATCACAGGAACATCACAGGAACATCACACGAACATCACACGAACATCACAAGAACATCACACGAACATCACACGAACATCACACGAACATCACAGGAACATCACAAGAACATCACACGAACATCACAAGAACATCACAAGAACATCACAGAACATCACAGGAACATCACACGAACATCACACGAACATCACAAGAACATCACAGGAACATCACAGGAACATCACATGAACATCACATGAACATCACATGAACACAGCTGCAGAATCCGTGTGTCGTTCGTTCATTCGTTTTTCAATATAAAACCAAAAATAAGAAAACGAAAAAACAACAGTTTTCTTCATTATTTGTCTCCAAAACCAAAATGAAAAAAAGATAATGATTTGTTTTTTTTAGTTTTCGATTTTGTGTTTAAATGAAGAATGGAAAAAACGGAGAACGGCCGTTTCCTGTTTACGTGACTTCAGTGACTGCGATGTCGGACTGAACCAGGTCTGATCCAGGTCCGAGACCAGACCGGGTCAGACCGGGACCAGACCGGGACCAGACTGGGACCAGGGTGGACTCTGAGCTTTGACTCCAAGCCTCAGCTTCGAGCTCTGAGCCTCTGGTCTGGTCCCGCTCTGGTCCCGGTCTGGTCCCGGACCTGGTCCATTTGAACCAAAAGCTCTTAGTTGGGTTGGTTTTCGTTGGTGTGAAAGCGTCAGTCGGATGCTTTGCTCCACCTCAGAACCAGCCGTGGTTCTTGAGTGTGGAGGACCGGAGCAGCTCGTCCGGACCTGTAGTCCACAGAACATTCTCACTTTCCCTGCACGGAACCAGCCGTGGTCTCGGTCTCAGTTCCGCTCTGGTCTCGGACCTGGATCAGTCCTGGTTCAGTCCGTACGCGGTGCAAAAGTCCGACATCGCAGTCACAGAAGTCACATAAACGGGAAACGGCCGTTATCTGTTTTTTCCATTTTTCATTAAAACACAAAATGAAAAATGAAAAAAGAATCCGTTTTTTCATTTTGGTTTTGGAGACAAATGATGAAGAAAACTGTTGTTTTTTCGTTTTCTTATTTTTGGTTTTATATTGAAAAACGAATGAACGACACAGATTCTGCAGACTCACACCTACAGGTTTGTGTTTCTATTTTTATTCTGTTTTATTTGTTCATCATCATCGTTCTGAAGCTGCTGCGTCTGAGGAGATTTTGAACTTTCATTGATAATTTCAAACTAAATAAATCCTCCAGACAAACTTTAATCTGACTTTTTTTTTTTATTTAAAACCATCATGTCCTGGGACTTTTCTGCACAAACCAGAATGAGCAAAAACTTCCCAAAGAATATTTTAAAAAGTTTTACAATTTGTTCATTTTTCGTTTAATATTTAGTTTTAAGAAGTGTGGCGGTTTTTGATTTTGACGTGTTTTTTATGGCTTTAGTTCAGATTACATTAATTTTTGTGAACAATTAGTCACAATTACTCTAAATTCTGCTGTCTGACTTAACTGGAACCAAGAACATGAGCACATTTCCCTGATTTCAGCGTCATTGTGTCGGCTTCCAGTTTGTTTTAGAGCTGATTTTATAGTTTGTTTTAAAAGTAAAGCCCGACCGATATGGATTTTGTTGTGGCCAATATGATATCAATAAAATGTGAGTTAGAGCTGCCGATATAATCGCTGATATATTTAGTGATGTAAAAATTCACTGTAAATTGTTTAAAAAACTTGGGTTTGGCTCTGGTGGATTTTAAATTGGGTTTATTTCGATGACGTTTCTTGTTCTTCTGACTCTTTGTGTCGGACTAATGACATTTTTACATCACATTCTTTTTATGCTTTTTATAGTTTTTGCTTTTATTTTGATTTTACTGGTTTTATCGTTTCAAAACTGTGTGACCAAATTTAAACAATTTTCCTTTTTGTTGTCTTCATTTTCTGATCTGTGTGCAGCACTTTGGCCTTGTGCTTTGGAGTCCTGTTTTAGTCCAGTCCTAGTCCCGTTTTAGTCCAGTCCTAGTCCCGTTTTAGTCCAGTCCTAGTCCCGTTTTAGTCCAGTCCTAGTCCCGTTTTAGTCCAGTCCTAGTCCCGTTTTAGTCCAGTCCTAGTCCCGTTTTAGTCCAGTCCTAGTCCCGTTTTAGTCCAGTCCTAGTCCCGTTTTAGTCCAGTCCTAGTCCCGTTTTAGTCCAGTCCTAGTCCCGTTTTAGTCCAGTCCTAGTCCCGTTTTAGTCCAGTCCTAGTCCCGTTTTAGTCCAGTCCTAGTCCCGTTTTAGTCCAGTCCTTAGTCCCGTTTTAGTCCAGTCCTTGTCCCGTTTTAGTCCAGTCCTAGTCCCGTTTTAGTCCAGTCCTAGTCCCGTTTTAGTCCAGTCCTAGTCCCGTTTTAGTCCAGTCCTAGTCCCGTTTTAGTCCAGTCCTAGTCCCGTTTTAGTCCAGTCCTTGTCCCGTTTTAGTCCAGTCCTAGTCCCGTTTTAGTCCCGTTTTAGTCCAGTCCTAGTCCCGTTTTAGACCAGTCCTTGTCCCGTTTTAATCCAGTCCTAGTCCCGTTTTAGTCCAGTCCTAGTCCCGTTTTAGTCCAGTCCTTGTCCCGTTTTAGTCCAGTCCTTGTCCCGTTTTAGTCCAGTCCTAGTCCCGTTTTAGTCCAGTCCTAGTCCCGTTTTAGTCCAGTCCTAGTCCCGTTTTAGTCCAGTCCTTGTCCCGTTTTAATCCAGTCCTAGTCCCGTTTTAGTCCAGTCCTAGTCCCGTTTTAGTCCAGTCCTAGTCCCGTTTTAGTCCAGTCCTAGTCCCGTTTTAGTCCAGTCCTAGTCCCGTTTTAGTCCAGTCCTAGTCCCGTTTTAGTCCAGTCCTAGTCCCGTTTTAGTCCAGTCCTAGTCCCGTTTTAGTCCAGTCCTAGTCCTAGTCCCGTTTTAGTCCAGTCCTTTTAGTCCAGTCCGTTTTAGTCCAGTCCTAGTCCCGTTTTAATCCAGTCCTAGTCCCGTTTTAGTCCAGTCCTAGTCCCGTTTTAGTCCAGTCCTAGTCCCGTTTTAGTCCAGTCCTAGTCCCGTTTTAGTCCAGTCCTAGTCCCGTTTTAGTCCAGTCCTAGTCCCGTTTTAGTCAGTCCTAGTCCAGTCCGTTTTAGTCCAGTCCTAGTCCCGTTTTAGTCCAGTCCTAGTCCCGTTTTTAGTCCAGTCCTAGTCCCGTTTTAGTCCAGTCCTAGTCCCGTTTTAGTCCAGTCCTAGTCCCGTTTTAGTCCAGTCCTAGTCCCGTTTTAGTCTCATCTTAGTCCAGTCGTAGTCCTGTTTTAGTTCTGTTTTGGTCCCGTCTTGGTCCCCGTTTCAGTCTCATCTTAGTCCTGTCGTAGTTC